TGCTGAGAAGAAAACCCTTAGAAGTCAGAGCATTGGAAGGAAAGCTCAGAATCAAACCTAATGATTATTTGACTAACCAGCCCTTCATTAGTTTATTTCTCTAATGAATTATTGAGGCACTGCGTAGACATCTCAGAATACATTTTTAAAAGCACAACACTGGTCTTAGATTGCAAAAATATAATAGTACTCGTGATATAATAATAATAATAGCAATAAGCACACAAAATGCTGCATAAACACTAATTAAACCTCAGTGTCCCCAAGCAGCAAGCACAGAAGGCAGAATGTTCAGCACATTTGAGGTAAAGAGTATAATTAACACCAAATAAAACAACATTATTCCAAATACAGCTCACGATACTTGTGCCTGCTCTGCTCTGTTACAAGGGAGAGACAGAGAAACTGAAATCTGCTCTCTGCCCAAGTTCCCAATAAATGCATTGATCCCCAATAGCTGTGAGCAGGTTTGGGTTAGAGGAGGGAACAGAGTTATTTAAATCATCAAAGCTAACACCTGAGGGACGTTACCCAGACCCTCTGGAAGCTGCCTCACAGGGCTGTGATCAGTTTGGCTCTGGGAGGCTCTTGGTTCATGTGCTGGGAGATCCTGGTGTGGCTGAAGCCCCAGGTCCCTCGAGGGGAGCAGGGGGAGCTGAGAGCCCTCCCTGGGCTGGGTGGGTGCTCTGTGCAAATTATTTTGCTCCTGTCAGTCCCATTCCTCACCGTGCCGAGTTCACCTTGACTCCTCGACAGGCTGGTGCCAGAAGAGATAAAGAAGACGAGTGGATTTGGAAAGAATGTTTAAAAAAAACCGAACAAATCACCCAGGAAGCTGAGGGTTAAAGGCTCAAAGATGAAGCACAGCTTTCAGATGTAAAAGCCCTGTTGCAGCGATAGTCCAGGTCAATAATAAAAGCTTCAGAGTGATGGAAAACCTGCCCCGTCAGTAATTTCTATTCCAAGAGATGTTTGTGATGATGCAGTTTACAGCTTGAAGTTGTAATATTCTTTTTCACACCATGCATTTGTCCAGCTTTGTCTCTTGCTTAATTACAGCTTTTTCTTTTCTTTTTTCACGATGTGACAAAATGTTAGTTTGACAAAATGGCCCCACTTGCTTTTGTAGTGTCCATCCTATGAATCTTTCCAGAAATCAAAATGATTTTGCAACAATTGTCAGCAGTGCCTTGCTCTGTGACAGTCAGCTCAGAAATACTTCATGATGAGCTTCAATAGGCACAAAAGGAAACAGAAAAACGTGGTGGGTGATTTCTGCCTTTACTTGGTACCCACATAGAGAGTGGAGCCCCTCGGGTAACAGGGAGCTGCTGTTCCTGGGCACGGAGCAGGCTCCCGGGTGAGCCCAGGGAAAGCTCTTCTCTTTGTCCCCTTCACCCACCAAAAAAGGGTAATTCACTCTCCTGGCCTGGCTAATCCTTCCTTTTCTGGGAATTCCAAAGCCAAGGCTATCAGTGTGCCGGTTCCTGTGGTTTTGGGAGCTTTTTTGATCGTATATTCTTCTTCTGGAGATCGTAGCTGATGAGATTTTATTGCCTGAATCCTGTAGCTTCTGTTCAATCTCATTTGGAAAAAAAAAAAAAAAGAAAAACTTGCAGCCCTCGGGGCTGTAGAGGAAAGCTTAGGAAAATGAACCCTAAATGCCCTGGCATTCAGACCAATAAAGACAGCCTGGCATCAGTTGTCATGTAAATAACAAGCTTGTAAAATAAACACTGCACATTCCAGCGGTTGTTTGTTAAATCTGCTTCTCCTGCAGTCTGCACAGGGACCTGGTGCCAGCCTTTCCTGGCCAGCAGAGCACCAGCACCATCCTCCTCCTCTTCCTCCTCAGAACTGCCAGCTTGGGAACAATTTTTCCATGTTGGGAGCAGCAGTAGGGGCTCTGAAGATGGGCCAGATGCTTCTCAGGGCTTTTCCTGGAGAGCAGTTCCTGCTCTCTGCATGGCCCCTGGCTCCACCTGCACAGGTAAGGGGATGCTTTGGCACATGGGGCTGGATTTCCCACTTACCTTCACACATTAAGGAAGGTAAATCCAACTCCTTCCTGGTGACAATACTTTGTCAGTGATATCTTGAACTTAATTGTACTATATTATACAGAAGATGTTAATCTAAATGTAATCCAACTGCTGTGGGTCACTATTTCTGAAGTCTGTGTTGAGCTTGCCAGGGGTTAAGTGTGGTAAACACTTATTTCCTGCCCAGATCTGTTTTATTTTTGTAACACAGGAGTTTTCAGTAAGTTTGTACTGGAAAAGTGCTTGGCTAAGGCTTTTACTGGTGAAAACAGACCAAAAATGCTTTGCTCAGATTTTTACTGGCATCAGTAGATGAAATGCTTTCCTCAGTTTTATGCTGCAAGCAAATATATACTGATAACTAAATTAACTCCTTGATTAATTAAAACACAACATACATTCTAGCAGGGAAACAGAGCTTTCATCCCTAGAAATGTTTACATGAGAAGATGATGGTTTTATCTGTGATGGCCAGAGTGTGCAGACACATCCTGTGGGGAGGCTGGGGCTGGGCAGGGCTGGGGCAGGAGGCTCAGCCTGAGCAGGGATCTTGTTTGGATACGTGATGCCATATTTAGAACATACATAAAATAACTCAAAGAGAAAGAAGGATGTCCTTTGGCTGCTGCAGAGTAGATTTGTCACACTTGCACCACTGTTTTGTGATCTAACTGCTGTTTGGAGGAGGATCAGGGACTAAGTGTCCCATCCATCCCCACTGACCTCAGGTTTTTGTGTATTTGCTGCCCGGAGACCCTCCCTGGCAGCTGTTGGAGCTGTGTGTTCCTCATGCCCTCCCTCGGCTGCCAGCAGCACTCCTCCAAGCTGCAGTTGGCTCCAAACCTTTTGTCCTTTTCTCCTAAACCATCTTTGTGTCCTTGGGTTTCAGCACGAGGGCTGGGTCCTGCTGGCCATCCTCTCCAGAGTGCTGGGTCCCCAGGGGTCTCCTGGGGAAGAGGGGATTCCAGGCTGCAGCTGGAAGCAGGAGGAGGAGGAGGAAGGGCAGAGGGCTGATGCTGTCAGTGTGTCACCACCGGTACGTGCAGTGCCAAGTGCCAGCACTTGTCCAGCAAACTGCCACCCCAGCCCTGTCACCTCCCGGCAGACAGGGACACGCTGGTGAATCCAGCACTCCCGGGGCAGTGCGGGAAGCAGCTGGCAGGGGGGGCAGCAGTTTGCTGCACAAACTCCACAGCAGAACCCACCATGAAGTGGAATTACTGCTGGTTCCAAGAGTGAAAGTGTCCCTGTTATCACCCTGCTTACTCCATCAGGTGGATGCAAATCTCCTCACATCCCCACCAGCAGAAACGCTCCTGCAAAGAAGCCTTGAGAAAATAGAAATCGTCCAAAATACTGAACTTTAACATGACCTTTTCCTTCTAAAACTTGCTCCAAGTTTAGTTTCACCAGATTGCAGAAATCCAGATTGTGTCTTAAATTTATTAAAATATCCCAACCATTTAAAATTGCTCAGAATTCCCAGTGCCAGGATGCTCTGCAAGAATTCTCCTTCCCATCAAACTTTGGGGGTTCAGAGGAAAGAAAGTAGAAGTTGTGGATTTGAACAAGTGAAACCGCTTTTGAGTCCTGATGCAAAGCCTGCCTTTTTTTCTCTGCCTGACAAAATTCCCCAATATATTTTTAGAGTTTCATAAGTAAACAAAACAATTCAACACTGCAAAACCTCACATTTCCAGTGACACTCCAAATTCCCTAATTTTACCGCCAACTTCCAAGCCTGCCGGTGCCAGCTGCGATTACGGAGGGAACCCAAGAGCCGAACTCCGGCTGGAAAGCCGCGGTTTAAGCGGGGAAAGAAGGCTTGGGAGCAGGAATTGTGGCAGGGGAAGGGCAGAGCAGAGCTCCGGGAGCCCGGGAATGCTCGGGCTGGGAGAGCACGAAGCCGTTCTGCGAGTGCCATCCAGGGGACGAGAGCTGCACTTCAGCTGCTCTGGGTGTGGAGGAGGAACCGACCGAAGCCAGGTGATTAAAAGTTTGCGAGCCGCCGGTGCGCAGGGATGGGAGCGGGAATAACGAGCGCCGGGAGTTTGGGAAGGGAGCAGAACCTCCGCAGCAGGTCTAAAAATGCTAATTACAGAACCACAGAATGGCTTCGGGTGGAAAAGATCTCCAAAACCATCGAGTCCAGCCTGTGACCCATCAGAACTTTGTTGCTCAGAGCAGAGAGATGAGTGCCGGCTGTTCCTTGATCTTTCACGAGTACAAAAAATCATCACAGCAGGAGAATAAGATAGTGCAGAAACCGGGGGTTCAGCAGTATGGGGGCTCTGCCCAGACTGGGACAGTTGATCTCCCACATAATTTTCCAGCAAAGGACAACTCCAACAGGAACCCAGGGGGAGATGTGAGAAACGGATTTGTAAAGGAGTCTCCAAACCTGACAGAAAGCTCACACGGTCTGTACATCTGTGTGCAAACTGAGATGAGCTGTGCTGCCTTAGGAAGGCCATGGAATAGAGATGACATTGTTGAGAGAGAGACTGAACTAGAAACAACTTTCAGCAAGTTTCAGCTCCTCCTGAACGGTGACTCCAAATCGCCCCGGGCGGCCCCTTCCAAGGGCGGTGTAATTTAGGTGGATACCGTTTGTGTGACCCTCTCCCCGAGACCCCTCTGCAGCCCCAGTGACATCTGACCGTGTCCCCAAGTGCTTCCCAGACCTCGGGACTTGGGAAAACCCTCGCAGGGAGATCCCATCCTGCTCTGTGCCCATCCCCGGCTGGGCACCGGTCCTTAAAGCACGGCCATGCTTGTGAAGGAGCAGCGGGGAAACACAATTTCCTTGTCAGATAAATCAGTGTGGGGGCAGAAAACCTGATTTTAACCGCTTTAAGGGGAAGCTTTTCTGCTGTGGAGCTGCCAGCGGCGGCCGTGACCCCCACCCTCCCCGGGCTGTGGGATGGGGGCGGAGGGAGCGGGGGTCGCGGGGCTCACCTTGATGATGAGCGGGTTTCGCAGCATGCTCAGCCGGACCAGCCCCAGCCGCTCGTTCTCCGTGCCCGGGCCCGCCTCGGCCAAGGTCATGGGCCGCCGCCGGGGCCCCGCTCTGCCGCCCGCCATGCTGGGGGCCGCGCCCGGGCCCGGCGTCTCCGGGCGGGCCCAGGCCTGGGCCGGGAGCCGGGGGCAGTCTCGGCTGTCCCGGTGCCGGGGCTGGCTCGGAGGTGCCGGTGCCGATCCTAGGGGTCTCTGCACGGTCCCGGTGCCGATGCTGATCCCGGGGCTCTCTGCACGGCCCCGGTGCCGATGCCGATCCCGGGGCTCTCTGCACGGCCCCGGTGCCGGTGCCGGGGTTCTCCCTCAGAACTCGCGGCGCGCGCGGCGGCGTCCGTCTCCAGGCAACAGGCGGTGCGCCGCTCTGATGGGTCCGGCTGGGGCCGCTTCCGCCGGGGGAACGGATAAGCGAGGCGCGGGGCGCGGTGGGCCAGCGGCGCGGGTGCACACCGCGTGGAGGTAGCGGCAGGCCCGGCGGGCCCGGGGGCGGCGGGGCCGGGAGGGGCTGCGGGCTCCTCACACCCACCCCGGAGCTGCCGAGAGCGCTGTGGGAGCGCTGGGAGTCTTCCTCGGTAGCCCCGGAGCGGCGGGGTCCGGCCCGGCCGCGCTCAGCCGGGGTTTATCGGTATCTGGGCCTAGGGGCGAGCTGTGCTTTGAGCTCCGCGGAGCTTTCGGGCCGCTCGTTCCCCTCGCTGGCGGGGAGGGGATGCCCGGGACCGGCCGGCGGTGCGAGCCGCCCTGGGAATGCGAGATTCAAGGGCGCGTGTTTCAAACGTGACGCGGGGGTGTTGCGTGGTGAGTGTTTTGTACGTGCTGGGTGTAGAAAATGTGCTAAAAATGCTTCCTGCCACCTCTGTGTGGCTGAGTTCTGCCGGCAGGGCTGAGCTCGGCCCCTCGGACACTTCTAATTAGAGAATTTTGGGTTTAGTGCTGATGAGTCTCGTATTTCTTTGTTGCTTTTGGCTTGGCGCTGTTTCAGGGCTGAAAGCTGAGTTGAACAGTTGAACACACTAGTCAGACGTTGCTTAGCTATTGAAAATCAAATAGTTATTAAATTAATAGTTAATTATTAATAGTTATTGAATTTATTAAAGCATTTCTTGTTGTTGTAGGGAAGCACTTTGGAGGCTGGGGGCAGCTGTGATGCACATCTGTTTGACAAAGGAGGCATCAGCTTTTCCTAGGCACTTTACAGAACTAACTGGATTGAAAAGTAAGAGCCTAAGATACAATTGAGTTTTTAATTGTTAAGGTTTTGGGTGGGGTTTGTGCTTTTTGTTGGTTTTTTTTTGTGGGGGGCTGTTTTGTTTTAAACAAAAACAGTGTATAAATGACAACACTTCAATAAAACTCCTCTCTTTTACTTAAGAGAAAAAAGATGAAAGTCAAAGCACATGCAGATGATTTTCAAGTCCAGGATGTTGTCAAGAAGAAGAAAAAGAAGAAGAGGAAACCAAATGAGTCCAACAACCATGAATATGCTGAAACTGTGGAAGATGCAGAGCCTGGCCACATTTCCCCAGTGCTTTTTGAAGATCCAGCAGCACAGGGCAAGGAGGGCAGGGAAAAGAAGAAAAAACTAAAAAAAAAGGCTGAGAAGCAGCAGACTCTGCTGGATAATTACTTTGTGAAGGTGGAACATGGGATCAGCAATGGGACTGGAGCAGCTGCTTCCCCGAGGAAGAAGAGGAAGAGGAAGGGTGAGGACAGCAGCCACGAGCTCAGCGATGCCAGCTGTGTCCCTGTGAGCCAGGACTGCCAGGAGGGTGCTGCTGGTTATGTTTATTCTAAAAAACACAAGAAGAAAAGGAAACGGAAGCAGCCTGAAGAGGAGGAGGTGTGTGAGCTGCCTCCCTCAGAGGAACACAGCAAGGGCCACAAAGAGAAAGCCAAAAAGAAGAGGAAGAAGAGGAGGGAGCGCGGTGGCCAGGAGGACACAGGTGGAGCAGCTGAGCCACTGCTGTCACCCTCAGAGCAGGACAGGGGGTGGCCTTCACCTGCAGGTGAGGATGGAGGCTGTGATGCTTCTTCTGGCATCACTGAGGTCTCCATGGAGCTCCCTGCTGGCTTTTCCACACCCAGTAAAGCAGCTGGGCGAGCTGCAAAGACTCCAGCACTTGCTACAAAGGCCCCTAAAAGCAGTGCTTATGTCATGGAAGACAGCTCTTCAGAGTCTGATGTGATGTAAGTTCGGGTTTTGTTGTGGGGTTTTTTCCTTTCTCCACTCCCCAGATATATTCCTTTGGTGTTATTTGGGTTCCAGGTTTGTCTTCATTCTGTTTTGTGTGTGTTTTAAAGGAAAACTTGGAACTTACACAGCATTTGTGATGTTAGAGACCAACTTTAAAACCTCAGTTTGCTGGTGGAGTTCCAACAACAATTTTTAAGAACACTTCAGTGTAGGCTCTTTTCTCCTCTTTAAAAACTGTAGGTATAGAAATAACTTAGCTGCAAACATTTCACATTTAAAAAAAGAAAAGTGGGGGGAAAAGAAAAGGATTTCATTCATTAAAGTTGATATTTACAGTGAACATTTGCATTTTAACCGAGCAGCTAGTAAGGGCAGCTAAACAATTGAATGTCCTGTGCAAATAAATGCTCATGTAAGGAGTTCTTGATGCCTTTGCAGTGTCTAGAAAACAAAACAGGAGCACTAGTAAGAGACAGATGGAAAAAATCTGTGGGCCAGTGCTAGGAAGAGGCATTATTTCTTCAGTGTGCCCATGTGTGAGAGTTTTGTGGATTTTCAGAACTTCAGAAAGCTCCTTGATTATTGTAAGTATAGAAATTTGGAAATAAATTACAATTATTATGTTAAAGGGTTAGAAATGCAAGGTAGTAGATGTGTGAAGTATTTTTTGTTCTGTAATTAACAAATATCTTAATTCCTTTAATGGCAGAGATGTTAACAACATCTCTGGTTTGGAGTTCTAGTGGTGTATTTTATTTTATTTTTGCCTTTTTTTTTTATATTAGGACACCAAAAGCCTTGGGATCACATGAAGAGCAGCAGAAGCAGCAGAACAATTCCTTTGCTGAATTAGCAGCCTCTGACGAGGTCAGTGTGGATGGTGAAGAAGGGCTGGACTCTGCCATGACTTCATTTGTGGATTTGGATACTGCAAGACAAGAACTGGAAGAGTTTATTCCTCATGTGAAGAATATATCAGACAGTTCAATCAAGAAAATGGCTGGAAGAGACCTAATGAGGTTTAAGGAGTTTAAAAAACAGGGTGAGTTCTCTGAAATCCTGTTGCAGTGAGGAGGGACTGTGCAGCTGTGCTGATGTTTGGACAGAGGGACAAGTCTCTTGTGTCGTGTCTGTTGCACCCACAGTCTGGTTTACTTCATTCCATTGACAGATTTTCTGTTTCTCTCTTGTAGCATCTGCTTCCACATTGGCAGATTTCAGTCCAAACTTGTGTGTCAATTGCTGATTCCCAGCTGGTTTTGTCTCTTTCAGTTTTCTCTTTTCCCCTCTGAATCCTGAAATGTGCAAGAGATGGTACTTGAAGTTTGACTCTTTTTTTTTTTTTTTTAACCTTTCTGTATTTTAGGTATAGCTATCAAGTTTGGCAGATTTACCCAGAAAGAAAATAAACAAATCCGGAAAAATGTTGAAGAGTTCTTGGCACTTACTGGAATAGACAGTGCTGAAAAACTTTTGTTTACCTCGAGGGATCCAGAAAATAAACACACCATCCAGCGCCTGAAAACAGAACATCATTTTTGTGAAAAAATCTGTGAGTATTTAAGTTCATCCTCAGACAGCTGAATGTTGCATTCTGCAACCTGGTGATATCCTGGCATGTTCTGTAAAATAATAAATAATAATTCTGTAAAATAATTTTTATTTGAAAGCACTGATGTTGCTAAATTTGGTAAGAAAAGAAGGTGCTGACATGGTGTAGTTGATAATCTGCACAGTCCACTGTTCTTATTACCTGGTCTCAAATAGGAAGAGTTTAGAGATTAAATATGGTCAAGACCAGTAAAGACTTCCAGACTTGCATTTGGGCTTTATGGCTTTAAGTGTATTATTTGCTAAACTGTAATTAAGGTTACTGATGGCAGCTGTGAGTGATTAAGTCCTGTGTGAAACTGTCACCAGTAAATAGGTGGCAGGTGCAGGACTAAGGGGGGGTGGAAGAAACTTGAGCCATGCCAGTCTTCCAAGACACGGGGATCTCCTCAGTCACCAGGAGCTTTATTCTGTGTGCTTGCAAGGCAGAGTAAAGGGCAGCCTGCCATGGATCAGGATGCTGGAATCAAGCTACAGATTTGTTCCTCTGTGGTTCTTTCAGACACAGAGTCCTTCCCTCTGCATCAGCACATTTCCCTGATGCTGACTTTCATTCCAGTCTGGGAGTTTGCTCCTGGGCTGGGAGGATTTGGCAGAAAGTCTCATCAGTGTTCTGTGCCTTGCAGTCCCCTCTGCTGGGCACTGCTGCCCAAGGGGGCTGTGTGTTCCCAGGGGCTGGTCTCTGTGGATCTTCCCTGCAGCAGAGATCTTCACTTGGTTTCTGCTGATGCCCCCAGTGCCTGCTTTTCCCAGCTGGAACAGTCTGGGAACACCCAGGGTCTCCTCAGCTCCTGCCTGGTGGCTGTCTCATGTCTCTCTTTAATGGGTGTGTCCAGCATGCCAGTTAAATTTTAATCACACCTGGATCAAATGCAAATGTGTGGTGTTGGGTTTTGGGGTTTGTTTCATTGTGGCCTCACCACTGCTAGAAATGTTTGTTAAAAATGTTCCTTTTCCTTCCAGCTGAGGGCATCCCCCGGCCCTGGAGGCTGATATATTATCGAGCAAGGAAGATGTTTGACCCAAATAATTATAAAGGAAGGTAAGGGAATACTTTACAAGTGTTTCTGAATGCTAATAGCAGTCTGTGTTGATTATTTGTAAATTAAAAATGGATTCAAATGAAGATCATCTCTCCCATTTGTGCCAGTTACTGTGACTTAATTGATAGCTCGTTTTCCCTTTTTGATTCCTGTGTTCTGAAATGTGACTTGAAGTGATAGTGATGATCAACACTAATCACCTGCAGATGTTACAGCTCTTTAAGAGATTGAAATGGTTTGAATTTACAGCTGAAGCTGTGCCCATTTCCTCAACCAGGTATACTACAGAAGAAAAAGAACAATTAAAGAAGTATCATGCTCTGCATGGCAATGATTGGAAGAAGATTTCTGAGTTGATGTCCCGTTCTAACCTCTCAGTTGCTATGAAATTCTCTGAAATCAAGTCAGGTATGTAATTTTAAGAAAAAAATTCATTTTGTGTAATGTTACTTGAACTTGTACAATGTAGGTGCCTTAAACATAAGGAAAAAGTCCTTCAAGTATGGGTTTTTTAATTAATTAATTGATTTGTAGTGATGGTCCTCTTCACACCACTGACTGCATTTTCATGTGGAAAGGATAAGAAAGATCTCTGAAAGAAAATGGAAAAAAGGTGGAACAAATACAACTCTTTATCAACAGAACTGACATCTAAAAAAGATGATTTCATGGGGAGGGCAGAAGGAATTTGGCAGCCAGGTTTAAAAAGATAACAAATTGAGATCAGACTGTTCTTTGGTGTTTAGGCTGAACTCTCAAGCTTGGTATGCAGAAGGGTTTCTAGGACATGTGTTAAGAAGTTGGTCCTATAAATAAAAATAATGCAAAGGGAAACATTTGCTCTTTTGCCTTTTTTCCCTTAATCATTCATTATAAATTGTGCCTTAACCTGGTGGGTTTTCAATTTTAGCTATTAACTATGGTCCTTGGACAGAGGAAGAGACGCAGAAGTTAGTGAGTGCAGTGAAAGATGTGATGAGGAGAAAGCTGAGAACAGAAAACCCAAGTTCTCTTTCCTCCCTGGAAGAATCAAACACAGATGTCTGGATCGACCGCGAGCAGCTGTACCAGCCACTGCCATGGACTGAGATTGAAACCAAAGTGGGAAGTAGATACTGGAGACAATGCAAACAGAAATGGTGAGGGCTTGGACTAAACTGGGATAGTAAAATGTGTTCTGGGGTGTATTTATTCTGCAAAACTTGTGGTTTGTACCATGATGATCTTTGGTAGGACGGGTAAGAGATTGTAGAGCACAGAAGAGGCATTGCAGGTGAGTGTGAGACAAATAACTCCTTGCTAGCTGCAGCAAGTTCTCTGATAGCAATCTGTTTGCTCTGATTTCTGCCTGGTGTGCTGAGGCCTGAGCAGCAGAGTTGACTTACATGCTGAACCCTGGGCATTGTGACTAACACCAGCAGTATTATTTAGCTAAAAATAGATGATTGAGACTCTTATGCCAGCTGTTTAACACCAAAGCAGCTGCTTCAGAAACTTTCACATAACCTTGTGTAGTTATCTGAAAGAAATATATCATTTTGAGAAACTTTCCCAACTGACAGGAATAGCAGCTTCTTTGTAGGATATTTTAGGGGAAATCCTTCCAGCCAAGGCCTGGGCCCTGGCCAAGCCTTGGCCCCTGCTGGCTGGGAAGTGTGCCATCAGATCCAGGTGTTCCTGTGCTAAAAATATAATCAAGTCACTTTGACTTGCTGATTTGTGGCCTATAAAAGCTGGACCCATTTTTGGGGTGAATTTGAAGACCTCACCTGGAGGTAGACACACTGTGTAGGATTTCCCAGTTGTTGGGAAGGGTTCTCCAGGTCCTGCTGTGAAATGAAGCTCCCTAGTGCCAGGATCTGGATGATGGTAAAATATTGAGGCAATTGGTGATGTATCTTTCTTAATCACTGTCCTTTCTCTCATATAATAATTATATTCTCTTACACATTTTTGCTTGCACATTTTTGCAAGTGTGTAGTTTTATTGAATGTATAATTTTACTTTTTTGTTGTCTTAATATTCATAGTAAAATAAGACCATTCTTCCCATTGATAACTGTGTCCCTTCAATTCCCCTTGTCACTTGGCAGAACACTGCCTCTCTGTGACAGCAGCAGCATCTTAATGCTTGGAGTTTCTTGAAATGATAGAAACTTGCTTTTGTGTGTTTTCAAAGGAATTCAATTTTAACAAACAAATTGACCAGAGGGCAGAAGTTGCACAGAGGGACCAATGGATTACGGACCAAGATCACCCTTATTAAAAGGTACAGTCCTGAGCACTGGGATGTTTTTGTATCTCCCACTGTTTGAGCTGTGCTTATAAAAGTTGGCAGGGTGAGAACAGCCTGCTTTGCAGCTTTGATACATGGTTTGTAATCATTCTTTCTCTGGACAAAATGTCCTGGAATTTCTGGGGGAGCTGGGAGCACGGAATGATGTCTTGAGTTCTGCTTGCAAACTGCTTCTGTCTCACATTCACAGGTTGTATGAAACAAAAGCAGAGGATGCCAGTGAAGTAAACTGGGATGAACTCAGTAGTGCTATGGGGTAAACCTCCTTTCCCTCTTTTTATTGATGCAGAGGAATCAAAGTTCTGATACCTTTACAACTGTAGGAAATATTCAGTTTGGAAAGATTACAGTTGCATATCCTGGCATAGCACTGAGCAGGAAGCCAAGATCTGAAACCCTTAACATTCCAGATACTGGAGTGTTGTGTATTTGGGCTTCCAAATGTTCATCAACTAATGGGAAAAATTATGATTTGATATTACAAGTTAATTTTTATTTGAATTCCATCCTTTCTGCCTGAATCTAAGCTGGGGTTTGACTTGCATCACTCTCAGGAGTGGATAACTCGGTAACAGTTAAGCTTTATGATAGCTCCTTGCACCACTAATTAATTTTTTGAACTCTTCTCTTTGCAGAGACGTTCCTAGAGCCTATGTTCAATCCAAGTTTTATAGGCTAAAAGTGTCCTTTGTCCCTTTATGGAAAAGAAGGACTTTTTCTGGTCAGTATGCCAGCTGTTTGTATGTGCTCTTTAAGGCTTTGGCTTGAATCTCAGAGGATACTTATTCTGGTTGAATTTTTTTCCTAACTGGCTAAAATCTTAGGCTTTATACTTATTTTACTAAATGCTTTTTTAAATAATTTTCAATGTTCTCTTCATGCAATTGCTTATGAACCTGTTCTTTTTAATACCTTGGCTTGAAAAGTTTTAACACTGTGCATTCTCTTTGCATGTTTGAGTTATGCCTGATCTCCCTGCATCCCCTGTGATCAGAACAATACAGAGATTTTGTGCATTTAACAATGACAACAATTTCTGTGAGATGCTGTTCCTCTACAGATCCAATTAAAACTTTTTTTTTTTTTCCTCATAGAAATCATTGACTATCTGTATGAAAATACACTCCCAGAACTTGAAGAAAAGTTAAGGGAAGAAGAGGGGAAATGCAATAATTTGGTCAATTCAACAGCCAGTCAGCAGCAGAAGGCTTTCAGATTCAGTGACATTTTTGACTCCAATGACGAGAGACTCAATGACATTTTTGACTCCAGTGATGAGGGTGATTAATGGATTGTCCTAAAAGCAATGCCTGATTTGCATATTTAACTGCAAATGGGTCTGGTTGAAAGTGGGTGCAGCTCACCACCTGCAAGTACCAGGCTGCTGACGATGGGAAGAGCCAGGATAGGCACCTCTGACTGCCTTGTTTCATCTTGAAGATTGAGTTAAACAGAGCTTTTGTGCCACATTTTATTTAATTCAGCTCTGGTTTTAGAAGTTTTCATGTAAGCATACAAGTTGCTTTCTAAATGTTTCAAAATACTTTTTTTTTTTTTTTTGTGGAGTTGAGAGCTGCTGTTTTCCCTTTATGAATGAACTTGGTTTTCACAACTTTATTTTTTTTAAATTCATGACACTGGAAAAAGGTTTCAGTTTGCTTTTAAAACTGTAATAATCAAGTCTTAAGACAACTGTGTTGATGAAAACAGCACAACTTTTAGTTGTTTTTTTTTTTTTTTAAACAGGTATCTTATTCTTAAAAGCAACTGCTTTTATTTTTGATGCAGACTTACACTTTTCTCAACCCTTTTAGAGAAAAAAGACTTTTGTCTGTTACTGTTCATCATTGCATGCTAACCAAAACAAATAATTTGTTGTATTTAATATTTGGAATACAGAGACAAAACAGTGTATATATATACATATGCATACATATATATTTTTATTTTACCAAGGAGAATTTCTACGTTTTAATAAGAAAATTAAGTAATAAGATGGAGGTTGTGCTTGTGTTTTGTATGATAATTTTAACTCTCTGCCTGAAGTGATTATTTGTAAATTGACTCAATTAATGTAAAAAGCCCCAAAGATATCTTATTATGTAAATTCTTTATAAGGCTTGTTTATATTTCCCATGTGCTGTTCTAGACAGTAAATTGTATTTCCCATGTGCTGTACTAGACAGTAAAGCAAGAAAACTCAGTCCCTGCTTTTTCAGGGTCATTTTGATAAGTGACAATTTCCCTCTTCAATTCTATTAATCATCAATGAAAATCCAGAACTTCCAATGGCTTGAAATAAAGGCCTTGTTGGGGGGTCTGGAAGGTGACTTACAGCAAGGGATTTTAAAGAAAAACTTCCCATATTTAATTGTGTCTGGCTTTAGTCTCTCTGAAGATAGAAAGCACTGGGATTTTTGTGAGAGAGGCAAAACCTGCCCTGCACCAGCCACTGCTTTGAGGCAAAAGTTTTCCAGCTAAGAGATGAAATGGGATGGGGGAAGGAAAACACACACCACTTCCACTTAGGTCTGTGTATTGCTTTATGGGTTTGAAGATTAAAAACTGAAAAACTTGAATTTCTGAACCTAAAAAGTTTGTCTTTTTTAAGGTGTTGGGTTTTTTTTTTTTTCCTGGAAAATGTGTGCAGGCAAGAGCACAAACAATGCCTGGTTGTAGAGTTTGTAAAGTAAATCTTGCAGAAATAAACTTTGTCTCCATGCTGAGATTTATTTTATTCTTTGCTTTAAAAGAAAAGAGTTGTGGCTAAGTGGAATGCACCTCACTCCAAAGAGAGTGAAAAGAATACTTTGACAGAGTTCAATAAAGTTGATGGAATTTAATGAAGTTTTAACAGTGGTTTACCAAGGTTTGAAGTTCACCTCATTAATGATTTATTCATTAGTAGTAATTCAGCTGCTCTCAGTCACTTACCAAGGGTCTGGTGTGAGTAAGGGATCCCAAACCTTGGGAGGTTTCCCTGCTCCAGGGCATTCCCCTGGCCTTCAATCCAGCTGTAATTCAGTTATTAGGGTGAAATTGATGCTTGTTAATCAGCAGTACAGACAGGACAGATGCCTTTGTTTTAACTCATTCTCCACTCATTATCTTGCATGTTTGGGCTTCAAAACCACCTTTCAAAATATTTTTCTGAGGTACTTTCACTCCCTTGGCCAGTGAGCCAGGATCATTCAGCTCCAAGGGTCACCTCAGGGCATGAGCTCCTGTTACTCCCTCCCAGAAACTACCCAGGAAAAATCTTGCTGATACTCCTAAAAAGCAGTTTCTGCTAAATATGAGCAAGCCAGGGCTGGAATTGTAAACTTGGAGCCATCACTGCTCTGGCTGCTTTGGGCAAACACAGACTTGAGGAAAGAAAGGCTTCCATCTCCCTGGGAATGGAGCAAGGAAACTCCTTCCCCTTCAGCTCCTTGGGTGAGGTGTCTGCAATCTGTGAGCACAGGGGCAAATAATTGCTTGTTGATTATTTCCAGGTGCTGAAAGGCACAAAGAAGGAGCTTTTCCCTTTGCCATCCTCTTCCCCAGACCCATGGGATTACAGGCAGCTCTTTCCCATGGATATTTCAGTATTACTGCAAACAGAGCAAACTGCAGAGGTTAAAACAAAAAAAGCCAAAGAGGCTCCACAGAATGATGAAGAAAATAACATTGACAAAGCTTTGTGTATCAGACTGCATTATAAATAAGACCATGACAGATCCTTCAGGCGTAAAAGCACCCTAAAAATTTGGGTGTTTCAAGCAGATGTGTCGCTTCAAGCATTTCCCTGGCATCTTCATGGCCTGAGTGGTGTTACAGCACAAAACTCTTCAGCTGTGTGGCATTATCAAAGACAGACGAGTTCCAAGGCTGTGTTTGCAGCACTTCAAAGCTGAAGGAGCAGCTGAAGATCAAACAGGGATTTGCTTTTTTTCACCCCTCTTTCCTGTAAGGTCTTAACCAAGGAGGTGGAGAAAGGTGATGGTGATTTAACTTGGGTCAAAGTTACAAGATGCTTATGTAGCTTGAGGTAAAGGACACCAATATAACCTTTGTATATTTATATAACCTGAATCATAGCTTTCTCTACAATGCAGTAGCCAGTATATGGTTAGCTAGTTGCTTAATGCTTAAATAAACAGAAATTTGCTAGGTGAATAATCTCAGAAACAGACAAGTGTAGCTATACTGGGAAGCAGGAGGATGTACAAACGAGAAATTGGCAAATGTAAAGCAAATTAACCACAAAATGAAGAATTTTGTCTGGTTAGATCCAGAAAGACCAAGGAACACCATAACTGCACATGCTCTGAAGACAAAGCTGAAAAGTTCAGATGAGAAGACCCCCCCAAAACACCTAAATTCAGAAGGAGCAAGCTCAGTACACAAAAACTACTTATAAGCATAAGCTAGCATTATGTAAATTAGCTCCAGCACGTATATGATGATGTTATAATGACACAACAACACTAAGCAATACTTACTGTATAAATAAACCACAGCACTTGACAAGGGTGAGTGAGTGAGTGAGGCGGAGAAACCCCCCTCGCCTCCAGCGCTGCAATAAACAAATACCTGCTCTGTTGACACCACCATCTATGGTGGTTTATTTCCAGCCAGCCTTTTCGAGCATCACCGTCCGTCCCTGAGGCAGTACCGGGGCTATAACACCGCCCGGGCCCATCACCGTCGGTCCCTGAGGCGGTACCGGGGCTATAACACCGCCCAGGCCCATCACCGCCCGTCCGTCCGTCCGTCCGTGAGGCGGTGCCCGGCTATAACACCGCCCAGACCGATCACGGTCAGTCCCTGAGGCGGTGCCCAGGCTATAATAACGCCCCGGCCGATCACGGTCCGTCCCCGAGGCGGTGCCCGGGCTATAACCCCGCCCGGGCCCAGCCCCGTGCCTCAGTTTCCCCGCCCGCCGCCTCTGGGCCGGCCTGTCCCTTTAAGGCTCCTCCCGCGGGAGGCAGCGAGCGCCCACTTCCGGCCGCGTCCGGAAGCGCGGGCAGCGCCGCGGCCTCAGGGCGGCAGCGGCGGTGCCGGGAGGGCCGGGCCGTGCCGGGCGGACCGAGGGGCCCGCGGGAGCGGCGTGAGGTGAGCGGAGCGAGAGATGAGCTGAGCGACCGTCCGCTCGCCCCGCACCACCTTGGAGCTGGTGCCGCCGCCGCGGAGCCCGCGCTCCTGCCCGGACGCCCTTTTGTGTCGGTCCCTCACGCCGCCTCACGGCGGGCCGGGTCCCGCTTGGCGGGAAGGGACGGAGGGCACCGGGCAGGGCGGCCGAGGCTCTGGTGGTGCTGTCGGGGCGCACCAGGGATTAGGATGGGGGTTGGGATTCCGATGGGGCCGACACCGATACCGGGGCGGGTGCGGCGGCTCCAGACGGGAAACCGAAAGAGTTTTCGGTGCTCCGTGCGCAGGTGCCGGGGCTCCGCGGCCGCTGCGGTGTCGGTAGCAGCGTTACAGGGCACGGCGCTGCTCCTGCCGGGGCTCGTTCGTGTGCCCGCCCGGGCTCCTTTCAGCCATTCCCTCGCTTAACGGGCATAGGTAAATATTTACGCTTTTTGTGAGTGAAAAGCGAGGCAAACATCCGCATTTGAATGACAGAAGGGATTGTCTTGCAAATCGTGCTTACCGCTTCGTGAAATGCATTAATGCAGCTGTTAACCTAAATACCAGAGCAGTTCTTAAGTGCGAGCTGGACAGATTTCTGCTGATCTACTACCTGGAAAAAGGTTACATCAGGTGAGGGTTGGCCTCTTCTCTCAGACAGTGAGGGACAGGAGTGGACAGAGCCTCAAGCAGTGCCAGGGAGGTTCAGGCTGGGCATCCTTCAGGCAGGAATTCCTTCACTGAAAGAGTTCTTAAATGTTTGAGTGTTGGAATGGCCTGCCCAGGGCGGTGGTGGGGTCACCGTCCCTGGAGGTGTTCAGCTGCGTGTGGCACTCAGTGCTGAAACAAGGGATTTAAGGTTTAATAGGGAATTTAGGGTAATTTAGACAATAGATATGTGAACATGTGGTATTCATTGTTCTACTCGTACGGGACTGAGATAGGGGACCCTCTGAAGGATACCTGCTACCTATTAAAATTCTGCTGAGCTCACAAATAAGAGAGACCCCTGATAATAACTGCTGGGCTTGCCAGAAAATTCAAAGCAAAGAGACACTGTGCATGAGAAAACACTTGAGTTTGAAAGTTCAACAACTATGAAGACTTTGAGCCTTCATCTTTGCAGGCCCCCAGACTCATTTTATTAAAGACCACCGACTCAGTAAAAAGGATAAACTGTGCAGTAGCAGCTAATTTCCACACCATGCGGAGAATGGGCGGGGTTACATACTGAATATGTATAGGCGCCATAGAATATGCATGATCTTTGTGAATAAACAGAGGATTTGTGAATGTTGAGGTACGCAGGATTTGGGAAGATGCTCTCCCCCTGTGTCCAGGGCTGAATAAAATACTTTACAACCTTTGGTTGTGGAGTCGTGACCGTGCTACAGGTGACAAGGTGGTGCTTGGTCACAGGCTGGATTCGGTGATCTCAGAGGTCTTTTCCAGCCGGACTGATCCCGTGATTCAGTGGTTTGATTTCTGTTTTGCTCTAGATCTTTGAAACACCACCGAGACTTGGTCACCGGGGGGTGGATTGCTGAGGATACGGCTCTGCCCTCTGCATTCAGGACATGTATGGCTGAAGGGCTCAGCCCCTTCCCTGGCTGCAGGGCAGCGCTGTTCTCCTTCCCACCATGTGACCTGGCACACCTGCACAGCAAATAGCTGCTTTTTTCAAAGGTAAATGCCACAGTTGTTGGGTTTTCCCAGTATATGTGTATGTATGAGGAAACTTATGGCTTGGCTTTATCTGCTTTTTTTTAATGCTGAATAAAAGAAGTAGTTACCATCTTTCTTTTTGTATGGTTAGTTCAAGAGTTCATGCTTTTGCAGCCTTCCATTATCTGAAGGGTCTTACAAGGAGAGGGACCCTTCATCAGGAACTGTAGTGGTAGGACAAGGGGGAGTGGATTCAAACTGACAGAGGGCAGGGTTAGATTGAGTATTAAGAGAAAGTTCTTCCTGTGAGGGTGCTGAGACCTCGGCACAGCGTGCCCAGAGAAGTTGTGGTTGCCCCTGGATCCCTGGAAGTGTCCAAAGCTAGTTTGGATGGGGCTTAGAGCAACCTGGGACAGTGGAAGGTGTCCCTGCCATGGCAGGGGGTGGAATGAAATGATCCTTAAGGTCCCTTTCAACCCAAACCATTCTGCAATTCCAGAGTTCTATGGAATTCTTCAGGCTAGCAGGATCTGAGATGACTCCATTGCTGCTTAGTGAGGGATTTTTGTTTTTAGAGGAAAGCAATCTGTGGTGAGAATTTTAGCACTCTTTCTGTCTATAAAAATAAGAAAGACAAGAAGGTTCTGCGTAAATATCCTTAGCTTGTGACAACAGGGATTTGTTGACCTATAAATTTTAGTAGGAGATTAAGGAAAGAAGCTAATTAAACTCTCTGCCACTAGACCTAGATTCCAGAGACACCAGTAAAATAATATAAAGAGCTTTGCACTGTAGTTCTGGAAATCGTGCAATGTGTAGGTAAGAAGATATTTTTTTTTAATATATAAAATGAGTTTTCACCTTTTTCTTCTTAATTTGCACATTTGACTACGGTGCTTTACTGTGTGCTATTCCTTCCACAGGCATTTTTTGTGTGATGTCCCTTTAATTGCTTTAATCTGTTTAACTGCATGCACCTGGATGTTGTAAGAACACCTGCGTGGAGGCTGCTAATGAGTAACTGAAATCCTGACGCTCCTCACACTTTAAAATTGTTCTGGCTGAAAGGGAACATTTTGCCACTTGAGGGCTTTAGTTGCTGCTTTAATTTGGGCTTTAATTGCTGCTTCTTTGCCCCCCCAGAATGAGCACATGCCGATGGTGCACACAGAGTGGTGCTGACACCACCGAGTTCCTGAAGCACTATGCTGCTCAAAGGCTGTCCCAGGAAGATTTTGAAGGCTCCAATGATGACCTCTGTTACTGCCTGGAGTGTGTGGTTGAATATCACAAAGCAAGGGAAGAATGTCCAAGATTGCATGAGGTAATTAATTAAGAGATTAATTAAGATGCTTCTGTGGTCCAGCCTCAGTGTAAGGGGAGGGGTTGTGTTTTATTGGGTTTTGGGAGTAGGTTGTGTTGCTTTTTAACTGTCTGGATTTACAAACTGATTGTAAAACAGAGGTCCTCTTTGCATATATTCAAACTGGCAAGAACTAAACCAGCAGTTGTAAGTTGCTGACTAGACACTATAGCTTGGACTTCTTTCATGCTGTTGATGGTTTGTCATCTGAAACAAAGAACATCTGCCAGACTAACAGCTCATTTCTTTAATGTATTTTCTCTTTTCCGCTGGTTTCTCTTCAGTTATTGGTTTCTTCCTGTTTCGTTTGCTTTCACTTCTCATTTGTAGTTTTCTCCTGTGTTTGAATTTCAGAGACCAGACCTTGCAAGACTGTGCAATTAATCAAAAAAATTTAAATCTCTTTTGCAGTTCTCCCTTAGTAGTATACAATTTTATATTTTAGGGAAGCTTATTATAAAACTTATTATATTATTAGCTTATTTTCCCTTCTATGTATGTAAAGTATGTGTTTTTAGCTAAAAGGTTGCTCTTTAGATTGATCAGCTAGATTGCTCTGGAGTGCAATTCCATGTGACTGGAAGTTCCATAGAATGGAAATAAGAGAAGTGTCTGGACCTACTGCAAGTTCCTTTTTGTGTCCACTTACTGCAGTGAATAAACTTGGTGTCTAATTGAGGTTTGGAGCAGTTACTTAAGATGAGTAAGTTAAGTGGGTGAATCCCTACAAATATCCAAATCAGTCAGCCTCTTTGCTTTGTTTATATTTTTTTTCTTCCACCAACTGCAAAATCTATAAAAAGGCAAGATTTTATATTTGCTTTTCCTGTCTTTCTAAAGATGATATTTTCCTGTATTGTGTCTTTCTGTGTATTGGCCAGTGGAACAAGGTTTTGTGACTAAGCTAAAATAAGTATTGAAATGAATATTTAACAGAATTATGAAATTGCATCTGGTTTGAAGGCTGTTCTTTTAAAAATTACTTTATAGTCTCAACTTTAAAGTGAGATATTTGTGCTTTGTGTAATTGAATTACATTTCAAAGCTTTGGACCATTGGTAGAAAGAACCTTTGCAAAATGAAATTTCAATTTTTGAACGTGTAATTATCTGCA